GCGCGACGTAGGTACCCTTGCGTCGCGCAAAACATCTTTGCGCGACGTAGGCCTACGTCGCGCAAAGCGTTTTTTTTTTTTTGGTCCTTTTGCTTTTCTTTTGGGGTTCTTACATTGTCTTTTTCTTTTGTTGTATCCACTTATGTAAATATTTTAAATTGACGATCGAATTAGTTCATTGTATTCATATAGGATCAAGGAGTGTAGCTGTAAAAAAATCATCAAAATCGGAGTTAAAATAACCGTTAAATCGTGATTTTTCGTTTATAACCGTCGAAAAGTTTTGTCCCGTTACTTGATCTTTGAATGTTTTTTTTTTGTGATTTTTTGGCGTATGCGATCTCGAAGCATATACAAACAAGGTTGACGGTTGGATCGTTGAAACTAGTTTTGTACAATGTGTATCCCATCAAAACAATAGATTCATTAACACTTAGAGTTTATTTATATTTTCATTAACTATAACATAAGATTTGTGGTATCCACTTGTGTAAATATTTTAAATTGACGATCGAATTAGTTCATTGTATTCATATAGGATCAATGAGTGTAGCTGTAAAAAAATCATCAAAATCGGAGTTAAAATAACCGTTAAATCGTGTGATTTTTTCGTTTATAACCGTCGAAAAGTTTTGTCCCGTTACTTGATCTTTGAATGTTTTTTTTTTGTGATTTTTTGGCGTATGCGATCTCGAAGCATATACAAACAAGGTTGACGGTTGGATCGTTGAAACTAGTTTTGTACAATGTGTATCCCATCAAAACAATAGATTCACTAACACTTAGAGTTTATTTATATTTTCATTAACTATAACATAAGATTTGTGGTATCCACTTGTGTAAATATTTTAAATTGACGATCGAATTAGTTCATTGTATTCATATAGGATCAATGAGTGTAGCTGTAAAAAATCATCAAAATCGGAGTTAAAATAACCGTTAAATCGTGATTTTTCGTTTATAACCGTCGAAAAGTTTTGTCCCGTTACTTGATCTTTGAATGTTTTTTTTTTGTGATTTTTTGGCGTATGCGATCTCGAAGCATATACAAACAAGGTTGATGGTTGGATCGTTGAAACTAGTTTTGTACAATGTGTATCCCATCAAAACAATAGATTCACTAACACTTAAGAGTTTATTTATATTTTCATTAACTATAACATAAGATTTGTGGTATCCACTTGTGTAAATATTTTAAATTGACGATCGAATTAGTTCATTGTATTCATATAGGATCAATGAGTGTAGCTGTAAAAAATCATCAAAATCGGAGTTAAAATAACCGTTAAATCGTGATTTTTCGTTTATAACCGTCGAAAAGTTTTTGTCCCGTTACTTGATCTCTGAATGTTTGTTTTTTACGATTTTTTTGGCGTATGCGATCTCGAAGCATATACAAACAAGTTTGACGGTTGGATCGTTGAAACTAGTTTTGTACAATGTGTATCCCATCAAAACAATAGATTCACTAACACTTAGAGTTTATTTATATTTTCATTAACTATAACATAAGATTTGTGGTATCCACTTGTGTAAATGTTTTAAATTGACGATCGAATTAGTTCATTGTATTCATATAGGATCAAGGAGTGTAGCTGTAAAAAAATCATCAAAATCGGAGTTAAAACTACCGTTAAATCGTGATTTTTCGTTTATAACCGTCGAAAAGTTTTGTCCCGTTACTTGATCTCTGAATGTTTGTTTTTTACGATTTTTGGCGTATGCGATCTCGAAGCATATACAAACAAGTTTGACGGTTGGATCGTTGAAACTAGTTTTGTACAATGTGTATCCCATCAAAACAATAGATTCACTAACACTTAGAGTTTATTTATATTTTCATTAACTATAACATAAGATTTGTGGTATCCACTTGTGTAAATATTTTAAATTGACGATCGAATTAGTTCATTGTATTCATATAGGATCAATGAGTGTAGCTGTAAAAAATCATCAAAATCGGAGTTAAAATAACCGTTAAATCGTGATTTTTCATTTATCGCCGTCGAAAAGGTTTGTCCCATTACTTGATATCTGAATATTTTTTTTTTGCAATTTTTAGCATATGCAATCTCGAAACATGTACAAAAAAAAAAAAAGGAAAATACATATTTAAAAAAAAAAAAAAAAAAAGAAAAACAAAGGCTTTGCGCGACGTAGGTTTTTCGATCAACGATTGTTCGTTAAATCGTGATTTTTCGTTTATAACCGTCGAAAAGTTTTGTCCCGTTACTTGATCTCTGAATGTTTGTTTTTTACGATTTTTGGCGTATGCGATCTCAAAGCATATACAAACAAGTTTGACGGTTAGATCGTTGAAACTAGTTTTGTACAATGTGTATCTCATCAAAACAATAGCATTCATTGGTTAAACAAAGTCTTTTTACATTAAGTTACATATTAAAAAAAAAAACACTTAAAAAAAAAACATAAAAGTAAAAATATTTTACAATGATGTGTAAACTAATAGCATTCATTGGTCAGGTGGTGCTTCAGTAGTCGGCGGAGCTTCAGCAGTCGGCGGGGCCACAGAAGGAGGAGGCAACAAAGGTTGATCAGTTGGAGCTTCACTACGCGGTGCCGCTCCTGAAGACGAAGGCAGATGCTGTTGGAACAAACCCACAAACCTCCGATGATCAAGTAAAATTTGACCATCAGTGTCCTGCATCTGGTCAATTTTCCTCTTCATGTTGGTGGCATAGCTGTGTGCGAGCTTGTGCAACTCTTTATTCTCATGCTTGAGCCCTCTAATCTCTTGCTTGAGACTCATCACTTCAGCCGCCAACGATTCAACTTGACGGGTTCGGGCAAATAGGCGTTGGGCCATGTTGGACACGGAACCTGCACACTGTACACTGAGAGCCAGAGACTCATTGACAGCCAATTCATCAGACCGCCTTGAAAGCAGTCTGTTATCTTTAGGAGTGACAAGGTTCCGGGCCACCACCGCAGCTGTCATATCATTCTTCATCACCGAAGCCCCAACGGTAAGGGGACCAAAAGGGGATATGAAAGATGGGCGCCATATGTTGTCTGGTGATGGCGGAGCTGCCTCTTCACCAATGTTCAAGTCAAAACGACGATCGGAAGGGCCAGACATTTTCTGAAAGTGTTGAGAAAGAAGAGATCGGACAGATTCAGATTTCGGAAGTGCAAGAAGGGAGTGTTTACAGGAGGGAGCTCAAGTATGTTGTGGAAAAAAAGTAACGCCTCTATAAAAAGAAGAAATCAAAGAGGCGCTCCTCAGAAATCGAAGAGGCGTCCTCTCGCAAATCGAAGAGTGTCAGCTTTCTCAAAAGTTGGGCTTGCTCACAAACCACCGATTCCAGATATCGAAGAGTGTCAGCTTTCTCAGCCTCGTCAGCAACCGTCACACGCAAACTCAGCTTTGCGAAAATCACGGAAAATTTTCGGAAATCACGGCCTCGTCAGCACTTGTCACATGCAGAGAAAGCTTTGCGGAAATCACGGGTAGTTTGTCGAAGCGCCGATTCCAACGGTCATCGCTTTCGAAAACCGAAATTCCTATATATGTCGACCTCCCTCCTCCACGGACAGACAAACCTGCAAAAATGCTCAACAACAATTTCTCGCATTCGAGAAGGCACCCTCAACATAACCTCTCGAAATACTCAGCTTTATTTCCCCCCGATAAGACCTCAGCAAATAAGCCACACCAAGAACAAGAGTATCTCATATCATCAGGGTCGAAAGCAAGAGTATCCCATATCATGCTTTCTCCCTGTCTTTGTCTTTGTCTTTGTCTTTCTCCCTATCTTTGTCTTTGCCTGGAACTTTTGCTCTCGAGTACTCATTCTCAACTGTTGTCAAGGTCACGAATTCCACCGGAAAATACCTCATGATAGTGGATCAGATATTGGCAAATACCTCAACAGCAAGAGTATCCCATATCATCAGGGTTGAACGTACTCTAGATTTGATGGACTTGTTTTGACCCTCAAATTCTTGAGTCAACTCACTAAGGCGTCGTGAACTACACGTGCCGATTCACCACTCTTGAGTCAAATCCTTAAAGATCAAGCCACCACCGGTCCTTGAAGATATCAAAAGCCCGATTCAAGATCAAGTGTTCACCACCCTGAATCAAATCCAGTTCAAGAATAAGCCTGTGGAAAGTTACTTCAAAAGCAAAAGTATTTCATATCATCTCTTCTCCATTTGCTTCTCCTTATCCTTGGTACTATTTACTAGCCAAGGAGAAGGAGAACAATCAAATCCATTTGCTTGCTTGGAAGTCTGATTGCTTACCTTGTCTGTTACCTCCTTCGACAAATCTCCTAGCTCGGCGACTTGGGAGACTCCTACTATTTGTGTTGAGAAACAGTCAAACTTCGTATAAATTAAATTCTTCCATTTTACTGTTAAAGTAGTAACTTGATTGGATTACTTAATGAGAAGCATGAAACACGGTCCAGATTACAGTCAAACTTAATGATTGCTAAACCCCAAAGTTAATTATCTAGATTACATCGCTTATCCATATTCCTAATAATTATGATCGATAATAGCAATAATAATTAAAAGTCTATACGCAAAAATCTGAAAGTTAATGGGGAGAGAGGGATCTTATATTATTTCAAAAGAGCTTACATTCTTGGCGCGGTATGAAAATAAATTATATATAAAAATAAAAGTCAATATATTATGCTATGTAGCAGAAAGTAAAAAAAATAGGATTATATTATGCTAATTTGCAGATGCAGGTACATTCTAGGGTTCTAGAATATAGAAGCCAGCTAATTAGTAATTAACTATGGTTCAAGCCAGCTAATTAATTGGGTAGCTAGCTGGGTTAAATGGAATATAATGCACAACTATCTGAGAAAGGTCAAGAAGTTTAATAAAATGCACAGCTTGAAGAGTCATTTTCTGAGTGGATAAACAGTAGTGGAAACATTGAATACTAATTATGCATAATTAAAGTTTCGGTCACATTGAATAATAATTATGCATAATTAAAGAAAATAAATTGTTTAGAGTTTTTCTAGTTATATGAGCTCTAGTATAGTAGGATGAGAACGGGTTTGGATATGGAATTTTTCCATGAAGAAAGAGAAAGAGGGTCCATGTTATCATATGGAGGGCCAACATGCAACAGTAAACCCAATGGGTTTGATTTATATGCTTTATTGACTGATTTCCCTCTCGCTCATCTGCAAACAAATTTCCCTTTCCCCCTTTTTTCCTCCTAACAAATTTCTCAAAAATTTGGGCAGTTTTCTCCACATATTTTCACTAACTTTCTCAATTCGGTAAATCCGGTTTCTGGGAAGATGCGCGACGCATTTTTGGGCAGTTTTCGTCTCAGGTAATGATCTCTGTGAACCTTAAAAGCATATTTCATATTTCCAGAACTGGGTTTTTTGGGCAGTTTCCATTTCATATTTCCAGAACTGGGTTTTAGCTATTTAATGATCTCTGTGAACCTTAAAAGCATGAATTCTTACTCTGTCCTCCCTATTACAAAATTTCACTACATGGGTTTTGTTCAATCCCAGTTTTCCACATATGGGATTTCAATCCTTTGATCCATATTGGAAGCTCATGCACTTTGAGCTTTAATACTTGATTCATGCACTTGTTTAGAATATGGGCATTAATATATATAGTATTGATATTATTGCTATTATTGCTTTTTGAATAATCTTGATATATAGTATTGATATGGGATGAGCTAGTGTCGGCAAAATTAATGAAAAGGAAGGGAATCGAAAGGGAATTGCATAATTAAAGAAAAGGAATTGTTTAGAATTGTTTAGAGTTTTTCTAATTAAAGAAAGGGAATCGAAAGTAAGTATAATCATATGGGATGAGCTAGTGTCGGCAAAATTAATGAGCTCTAGTAGAAAGGGAATTGCATAATTAAAGAAAAGGAATTGTTTAGAATTGTTTAGAGTTTTTCTAATTAAAGAAAGGGAATCGAAAGTAAGTATAATCATATGGGATGAGCTAGTGTCGGCAAAATTAATGAGCTCTAGTAGAAAGGGAATTGCATAATTAAAGAAAAGAAAATTGTTTAGAATTGTTTAGAGTTTTTCTAATTAAAGAAAGGGAATCGAAAGTAAGTATAATCATATGGGATGAGCTAGTGTCGGCAAAATTAATTACCTTTGGAAACTTGATGCCAAGTAGATGCTGCAAGTTTTTCAAACTATATATTGGAGTTGAGTCAAAATTAATTACCTTTGGAAACTTGATGCCAAGTAGATGCTGCAACGATCCAACCACAAAATTAATTTTATGTTGTTAATTTTTATTCTGCATTTTAGACTATGCAAGTGCCAATGTGCTTGCTGGCTATGACAAATTGCAAGTCCTACTTCTTGGCAAGAAGTATGGGTCTGGCGGCAATGGTTAATGATGCTTTGTTCAGTTTTCTTTGCTTTTTTTCACACTTGGGTTATTTGTTCAGTTTTTCTTTGTTTTTTTCTTCTAGTTTCAAATGCAAGAAAGGATTAGTTTCTAATGTTATATTTTTATGGTTAAAAAAGTGTATAGATGTCGTATTTGATCACTCGTCGTCGGAGTGTGACCAATGTGACCAATGAGCCTACACCCCTTGGTGAGCCTGCTGCTACGGCGTCCCAAGTGCCTATCTCATTGACGTCATCAGTGTCGGTTGAGCAGGTCAGTGCACGGCGGCCTCACCGGCGCCGTCGCGAGCCGGAACCTTTTGATCACACTTCCTCGGCATCCAGAGTAGAGGGTGAGGCCTCCCAGCCAGGTAGTTTTTTCTAATTCTCACTACGTTGTAATTTTTTTTGATCATTTTAAAACTATTATTTTTATGATGGTCAAAATTTGTTGGATTGTGAAAATGTGTTGCAGGTTGTGAATTACTGTTATTTTACTGTTATAAGGTTTTCGGAAATGCTATACCATTAGGGGAGGTTATGTCAAATTTTTTTTTACAAATTTAAGCTTACGATTTTCACCATTTAAGTATTTTTGGCCAGCTAAAAAAACCACCAGGGGACCTAATCGAATGTTGAAGCAGTTAGAGGGCGCACGGCAGAACGGCTCCAGGATCAAGATTGTGTATGACCCGCGACATTGTGGAGCGGCTACCTCACAGCATCATAGCGGCATCGCTACTAGTTGTGGTGTTGTTATTCGAGATAATTGTCCCTTTCAGCGGGGGTCTTGGGCAAAAATTCCCGAGGAGACGAGGACATTAGTGCGAGACAGGTTGTCGGTTAGTATATTTAATTTTAGCTGTTATTATTTTTTAAATTTTGTTTACAAATATTCAAAACCAAAATATATTATCTTAATATTATTAAATTTGTTACAATTATTTTATTATTTTTCATATTCGTAGTGCGTTTATGATCTTGAGGACATATCCCCTGAGGCTATGGCCTACTTAGAGGGGACCTTAGCAACCCGATACAAACAATGGAAGAACAATTTTCACAAGCTTTTTAAGCAATGGAATGATCCGGAGATTGCTCGTCTACATGTTCCAATGGAGTTGAAGGACCGGCCAGAGGATTGGAAGTGGCTCTGCAAACATTTTACGGACCCAAAATTTGTGGTATATACATAATATTTTAATAATAATTTATTATTGTACATGTTATTTTTTTAAGCTTTTTTATTAATTTATTTCAAATAGTCGCACTAACATGTATATTGTGTGTTTAACAGAAAAAATCTATTGCTGGCCAGAAAGCTCGGGAGTCAAAGACACTTCTCCACCATTCTGGTTCAAAGCCCTTTTCGTATAGGCTTGAGGCACGACGTGAGGTAAAAGTAAATTAACTTTGAAATTTTATACAATTTATTTATTATTATTGATTAATACAATTTTCTTCATGTTTTTTTTTCTTAAGGAGGGTTCTATGTTCCCAGAGATCGACATGTTCGAGGAAGTTTACGTTCGACCTAATAATGAGACCACTAAGCAACTTCATGTAAGTATATGTAATTATCATTATTCTTATATGTAAGAATCGTTCAAATATTATCTATATTTTTGTTATTAAACATTATATGTTTTTTCTTTATTATTACAGGCTACTATGGTGGAAAAAAAGAGATGATGTTCTCCACGAAGCAACATCGCAGCTTCCCTCGGAGACTCCGATCGAGGACATCACACTACCTGAGGATGTAGGTTTTCAGATCATGACTGATGTCCTGGATCAGAACTTTGGTCGTCGTCGTGGCAAGGTTGTTCGAGGTATGGGGAAAGCGCGAGTTCGTGAGACGGGTGCCTCTTCTTCCAGATCGAAAACAGTAGAGGTCAATGCATTGAAGGAGGAAGTGACGCAGTTGAGGGCCGAGGGTGAGCAGATGAAGGTGCAGCTGAGGGCCCAGGATGAGCGGATGAAGGCCCAGGACGAGGAGGTGAGGACCTGTGTCGGGAGGGTGCAAGAACTTGTACAAGCCATACAGATGGCTGGCCTCCAAATCTCGCTACCAGTACCTCATCTTGCTCCACCTTCGACCTCAGACCCATCTCGCCCTGCCGATACCCAGTAGCTTGATGTATTAAACCAGTTCACTTGTAGTTTTTTTTTGGTTTGGACATCTTGTATGCACATTTTTATATATTTTATAATTAAATACTTTTGTTTAATTAATTATTCTTTAGAATTTAATTATAATATTGATTGATCAAGAATTTAAAAAAAATAACTCAAACCAAAAAAAGGGTTTTGCGCGACGTGCATCCTATGGTATGCGTCGTGCAAAGTACTTAGCGCGACGTGCGTGCGCGTCGTGCAAAGCACTTTGCACGACACACGTATATGTCGCGCTAAGTACTTTGCACGACGCGCGCGCACGTCGCGCTAAGTACTTTGCACGACGCACGTATACGTCGCGTAAAATACTTTGCACGACTCACGTATACGTCGCGCAAAATACTTTGCACGACGCATACGTGAGTTGCGCAAAGTATTTTGCGCGACGTATGTTATTGTTCGTCGCGCAAGCCATACGTCGCGCTAAGTACTTTGCACGACGCGCACGCACGTCGCGCTAAGTACTTTGCACGACGCATACGTGAGTCGCGCAAAGTACTTAGCGCGACGCATGTTATTGTTTGTCGCGCAAGCCATACGTCACGCTAAGTACTTTGCACGACGCGCACGCACGTCGCGCTAAGTACTTTGCACGACGCATACGTGAGTCGCGCAAAGTACTTAGCGCGACGCATGTTATTGTTCGTCGCGCAAGCCCTACCGTCACTGCCTTGGCGCGACGGTCAGCGCGCGACGAACCCTTCGTCGCGCAAACCCTTAGGCAACGACTTTTGGCTTTGCGCGACGCATTTACGTACGTCGCGCAAAGTGTTTTTTCTACTAGTGAATGTGGGGGGGGGGAGTGGGAGGTTTTTTTTTAATATTGGAGATATTTTAACATCACATATAGGTGATGCTTCAATAAAAAAGTAAAATTTGGACATGTGAAATTACATTATTGCCCATAATTTTTTTTGTGTGTTAAAAAACTAAGTAATCTTTTCATCTTCTTTTGATTGACAAAGAGAATTTCATTAATTAATAGAGATAACATTACAACTGAGACAAAGATACACACACTATCCGAAACTCTGCCCGCATCAAGAGAAAATACTTACCAACAGTACTCCATGTAACAGGAGCACTATTGTGTAACCTACATCAGATACGACATCGGTTACCTTGTCTGTCTTCCTAGATACAATGGTTGTTCTTACAAATGTACAAGAAATACACGTTCATATTTGCTAACACACACCCCAATTATACTTGTACGTACAAATACGACGGTAAAACTGGTGCGATTGTACCAAAGCAGATACAAGTAGTGATATATATATATATATATATATGTTTCTGAAATCAAGGCAGAAATTAACAAGTGAATTACCAGAGACAAGCAACCAAGCAGCTCCCGAGGGAATACAAGGCAAATGCTTCAAGTTTCTTACAATGTCACAGGCAAGAGAAAAGGTTGGGGTTCCACAAGGATAAAATCTTTACAAGTCAAACTAGAAAATAAATGCCGATGTTGGATGACCGGAGTCATTAAAACAAAAAACACAACAGAAAATCTGTGTCCTAAAATATTTTGTTTTTCTTCCTCTTTTCTCTTTCCCCTTGAACCAAATGGGAAATGCAATGCTCCATGGGCTTTTGCTGTCAGCAATGACTTCGCTGTATGTTCCTCCATCAACTCCTTCCTCACCAACTCTCTCTCTTTCCCGTCAGCCCGTCGGTTGGAACCTGTAACTTCCATTTCCATACCCTCATTAGTCGTTGCATATTCCTCAAGCTTCTAAAATTTGATGTTTAATCCCACCTGGTTGATAATAAAAACAAAATACTAATTCCATAGGCACCGGAAAAAGTTAACGTAACAAGAAAGAGACACATGAGAGGAGAGCAACAGTAGTTAACTGCGTTTGAGTTTGAATTCGCAGACAAAAATGGGGGAGTGGGTCGATTTTTGAATCACCAAAACTAAAACTGACCAATACTTTTTCGTTCGGTTCGGTTTGTTTGTTTTAGTTCGGTTTTTTTCAACTTCGATTCGGTGTTTGATTTTTCGAATCCACCACTAGAGTTTTGATTTAATTTGAAAATTGTGGCACAAATAATATTTTGTAACAATAGGTAAATTACTTTTCTACTTAGCAATCTTTTTCAAATTTGGGTTTATTTGAATGTTTAGAATTATGTGGGTTTTTATCTAAAAAATATGAGTTGCAAGAATTTATATCTAAAGAACCTTAAATAATATTTTATTATGTAACATGAAAAAACATAAAATAAATAAATAAATAAATAAAAACTCAGTACAGTTCTCAATTCTCCAAAGAATAACGTATTTCTTGGTTTTCGCTGTCATGCTGTTTAATGTGTTTATAAATTGTTGCCAACAATTCATGTGTGTAAGCTTTCGCTTCGCAGTGCTGAAGCTGAGGACTCCTGAAAGGCTCTTGTAGTTTGCATACACACCAAATTAACTGCCTGCAAGTGTCTCTGTGCATTATGCAATATTCTCTTCTGTTGTAAACTTCAACTATATTGTATTGTACATACCAAGCAGCCGGAAAAAACACCTCTTGCATTCTGCAATCTGAATATTCTTTTTCTTAAAACTGAAAATATGAGTACACCCCTTGGAATTCAATTTTTTTTTTTAACTAAAACCCATCATGATAAATTTCTTTAACAAAAACCCAATGACTAAGCTCCAACTAAGCAATATTCATAATTAAGTTTGACTTGGCAAAATTTGTATTTTTAGATGTCTAAATAACCCCTAATAAAACTTACTTTGGGTCTCTCACTTATTATCTACGTTTATTTCACATTATTTCATTCAATTAAATGTCTTCAAATACCTTATGGGGATTTGAAAAGAAAAAAATTAAATGTCATGATTCGTATGCATTTAATAACAAAAATTTACATGATACAAATGTTTCTTATATTGTGACAACCCGTCCCGAATTCTACGATTTAATAAATTTTAAAAGTGTGAATTGACAAAAATGCCCCTAGAGGCAAAGATTTTGACTTTCGTTGACCATCTTTTCGTGACGTGTACAAACTATTATTTTACCGTATTCTCGAAGTACTCGATAGTATGAACGCGGAGGCACAATCAGAACAGAAATTGGGGTTACGGTTAAAATTTTATGGATCTACGAATCCAAAAGTTATTTTTGAAGAAATCACTATTTTATTTATCTTATACTAGTTTATATTGCTAAATTGTTATTTATTATTTTCTGATTTGATCTTTTTATTATTTTATTATTAATATTTTCTACGTTACACAATAACGTATATAAATTATTATATTGACGGAATTCATGCAATTATGCTACATCCTACAAGATGCACTGGTATGCGTATTATTATTGTTGCCTTAATTATATTTATGGCTATGATTAATGTCTGTGGAATAGTATGATGTCGACGTAAAGTGTTGATTTACTGCCATATGATTTTATTTATGATATTTGCTCATCGTTTGCTACACCGGTCCCAGGCCAGGACCAGGCTTTCACGTGTATGTGCACATCATACTGTACACTCACTTAGATCCATTATAGGTGCCAATCCTATCCTAAATTGCTATAGGCAATTAGGACTCGTATGTGATGCGCATAGTGTCAGTCTCCACGTGATTGTAATACTAGAGCGTATATCATTGTTACACCCAGTCATGTTCATGTCAGAATACCTGTGCATGAACTCATGTGTCAGTATGTGTCGATGGGCACTCGTTATGATATGTTGCTTATGCGAGATTATGCGATTACGGACATAATGTGTTTACTTACGAGATATTGTGCCGTATTGAATTCTTGAGATATTGTAGGCTACGGTAAGTATTTTCATACTATACGTAGTATGTATATTTTGGAAACTATACTTGTTTTACGGCGATGAGTTATTATGTTTTTGAAAAGGTTTTTTTACAAAGCTTTATTTTCAGGCCCACTCACACTTATTTTTCGCCCTCCAGGTTTTAGTGTTGAGCTTTCGTGTCAATGAGGATTCTTGAAAAATCTCGGTATAGGTGGCTACCTTTAATGGTATAATTCTTATCCTACCTTACTGTACTTTATTTATATTCTGACATCACGTGTGAAATGGGTTCATTCCCGCTCATAAGCGCACTCTTAAAATTAGGCACCTTTAGGTTTAAATTTATTTACATATTCCACTACACTACACTTTATGGCTTCGTCACCTTCTAGGTGTTAGCTAGCACAGCTCGATTTGGAGTCCAAGTGGACATTCCGGGTCGGGGTGTGTCATATATAGTTGTTTTCACATGATGCTAACAGGTAAATTAGTATATCCTACAAATAAAAAAAAGTTATTTTATTCAAAATTATCAATATTTTAAATCTAACATAGGTAAATTATTTTGCACAACATATATATAATAACAATATAAGTTCCTAGTAAATTATGTAATGATACATGCAAAATAATTTACCTACAAAATAAATCAATATTTTTTACCTACAAAATTAATTAAATACCAATATTTTTGCAAAATATATATATATATATATAAAACAATTTACCTACATGCAAAGTAAATCAATATTAATTAAATAAATCAAATTAATTAAATAATTTACCTACATGCAAATTAAATCAAAATAAATTAAATAATTTACCTACAAAATAAATCAATATTTTTTATTCAAAATTAATTAAATACAAATATTTTGCAAAAAATAAAAATAAAACAATTTACATACATGCAAAATAATTTACCTACAAAATAAAAGAATATCGATTGATTGCACACTCTATAAAATAATAACAAAATGTGGCTAGTATACATGTAATATCACATGAAAAATAATTTACCTACAAAATAAATAAATGTTTTTAACCAATTGATTCAAAATTAATTAATTACATATTATTTTACATAAAAATATAGATAAATTATTTGCACACATAAACATAATTTAAAAAAAATGTGCCTAATACATACCTGCAAAATAATTTACCTACAATGATTGTCAAACAAATAAAAGAAATGAAACATAGGATGGTAAGAGTAGTATAAAGTAGATAATTTTATAATAATAAGGCACTTATTGTGACAGCCCGTCCCTGATTTTAAGAGTTTTTAAAGTTTTAATAAAGGATTTTACAAAAATGCTCTTTGAGGCACGCGCATTATTCGAGGTTAATCGTTGTGTTGTACCATCTAAAATTTGTTTTCTTGACATATCCTCGTAGTACTCGTCGCTACGGAAGCGTGGGCGCAGACGGTTCATGAATTGGAGTTATAACGAAAAAGATTTTAAAGTTTGAAGTTTGGGCATTTTATGAATTTTATTATAAAAATTTGGTGTGCCATTTGGATGGCCCAGATTAAAGGAAATCTGAAATGGATGGTTCAGATGTAAGGGAAGGAAAATAAAAATAAAAAGATGAAGGAAGGTTTTGCGTGTGTGTGTGCGCACGCGTGACTGGTGAAGAAAAAAGAAGAAGAGATTGGGCAAAGCTGCCCAACCAGAGGATGAGAGTAGGAGCTCCGGGGGAGAAAGGAGAGAGCTGGGTGAATGGAGAGAAGAGAGAGAAAAGCCTGGCCAATCGGAACAGGGAAAGGAGGAAAGGAGGGAAAGTGGCGCGGGGGATCGGCCGGATCCCCTTGGCCCGTTCTTGACCCGGTCGGTACCCATGCCTATTTTCGATGATTTTCACCCGTTTTTCCGGCGAATTGCTTCAAGAAACTTCATGGAAACACTCTAGGACCATTCCTCTATCCATTCCATCTCAAATTTGGAGAGATTTGGCTTTGAAAATGGAGAAAACCGCAAGAAAATGGTGCGGCGGCTTTGGCTTTGAATCACCCAATCCCGAAGCAATTCCTTCCAATTGTCACCACCCATAACATCCTCTTGAGGCCTAGAACAAAGCCCAAGCATTGGTTGGGACGGCGGAGTTGATTTGAGGACGAATTGGAACTCACCCATTTCTAGGGTTCATACGGTTTTGGTGGAATTGGAGCATTTCTAGGACAAATTGGACTTGGCCGCAGGTATAAATTTTGCTCTACTCTTTGAAATCTTCATTTTTGTATTTTTTGAGAAATTTTGGAAATAGTTGGATTTTCCGGCGAGCCGGGGCAGCCAACCGCCACCCACGGCGGCGCGTGCGGCAGCACGTGGCCAGTGGGCCGCCAATGTTATTTTTAAGCTATATTTGATGTCCTAAGTTCAGTTTTGATAGTGGCTTAACGTTGGTTAATCATTTGGACTTAATTTCGTTACGATGCGTGGTTAGGCCAAAATATGAATTGACGATCCGACCGTTGGATCGTCACCTAACTTTGATACGTTGTAATATGTAATATTTGAGGATTATAGGAACTTACTGATCGAGAATCCGATTTACGGATCTTTCGGAATTGGAGTTGTAAGTTCATAAGATTGAATGTTAACCGTCACTTGGTTTTGGCAATTGACGGAAATCCGATCGTTGGATGGTAATGAAATTTTAGGATGTTGTCCTAGAGGTATATTGTATATCTCTGGAAGTTCAGATCGGAAATCTGAGTTGCAGATCTTCCGGATCAAACTACGTAGTGACGTGTTTTATATAAGTTATATTCTATCGATATGATTTCTGAGGCATGTCTTGATGATTATTCTAGGCGCCGATCGTCATGACGTCTTGATGTGTTGTGCTAGGGAGTTGTAGGGTGAACTCCAAGTGAGTGGGCAGTTATTTTCAGTATATATATATACTTGACGTTTTTCCCAGAAAATGTATTTAAAGGAAATGCAATTTAAATGCCATGCCATAAATGCCATGCATATACAATTATGTTTCGTGCATGAATTGATGTGTGATACCTTATATATAAAAATGTAGTGCTGTGGAGGCACAGGTAAGTTCAGGTAAGTTATGTTTGGTTTAGGTGAACTACGAACGGCTTGATCCCTGCTTAGGGTATGTAGGCAGCCTAACCAAAATGTTAGGTGCAGCCATACAATATATAAGATGAAATAAATGAGATATAAGTTTATTTGAGGAATTGAGAAGTGTGATGAACATGTTTGGTTGGCTATATGAGACATGATTGAGATAAAGGCCTTAGTTGTGAATAGAATAATTATAAATGTGTTGATGAGCATAGAGCTCATAACCTGCACCTGGGTGATTGCGATTTAGCCAGAGAAAGTTGGCACAGGCCTGTATATTATGTCACCTTCTGCACCATATGCTCACATCGGATCCAATTAGGTGCACAGTCTTGTCGTACAGACCACTATAGGTGGTTCCGACTCGTAGGTGACTAAGGTATTATCGCACAGCTAGCATTGAGAGGGTAAATTGAGCATAATTATATTACACCCAACCTTGTCGTACAGACCCTTTCCAGGGGTTCCGACTTATGTGCAGTATATTGCCGTATAGGTCATAGTAGTGACTCTGGCTAGATTGAGTTTGAGCTATGAATTCAACCGTACAGACTACCACAGATTTCGGCTAACATATCATATTTCTATGAAATTAAACTTACCTGGATAGCTTACTTTGTTATAACTTGGTATGGCATATATATTCATGAGTATGATTATGTGAAGCATGAACTGAATTGTTATGATTTCAGATATATATATATGTATATGCTTATATCTTGATTCTGGGAAAATTATACAGGTTTTATGGCGAGGGGTTAGAACCTTTGAAAAGAGAAAAGGTTTTGAAAAAGATTTGTTTTACTGACCCACTCAACTTTATTTTTCGCCCCTTCAGGTTCTAGGTAGCAGTGCTTTGGTGGCCACAAGGAATCCAACAACATTCTGACAGAATTCACAAAAGTAGGATTCACCTTCGAGTGTTATAACTTAGTAATTGTCCTACTTGACTGCAACTAGACGTACTTCTACTCTAAATGTGTATTTATACACTTAGGCTCGCACTAGCATCTTTTCTTAGCTAGAATTGCTAGTGTTTCGGTTTTTATTTATTCGTAATTCTATTTATCTTCTCAGCTTCCGTACTGTGCAAATGGTTACGTCACTCGCACGTGGCGGCCAGCACGCCCTCCTTCGGAAAGGGGTGTGTCACTTATTTCCCACAATTATGGTGGATAATTAAATTCATTAACATAATTAAAGTATTGTGTGGGACAATTGTAAATAGTTTGAAAATAATAGGTATTTATTTGTTTACATGGTAGTCTATTTCAAATTTGGGTTTTATTTGGATGTTTAAAATGAGATGGGTTTTTGTCAAGAAAATAAGTATTGCATGAGTTTATATCTAAAGAACCTTTCTTAAAAATTTAATTGAGTACTGTAACTATTGTGTGGCCACGGTGCTATATATGATATTTAGCTTGGCTCCACTTAGCTCATTTTTAAACCTCTTATAGAAGAATAAATTGATATCGAACTCATCATCTTGATAACTCAAACCTAAAACCTTTTAGTTACAAATGAAGAAGAATATCACTACACCAATATTAAGTGGCAAGTATTTATATTAATTTTTAATTGTTTGTGACCAAATAACAATTAATAGCTACTTTAAAGATAAGATTTATTGTTCCTCTTCTTCTTTAACGAAGTTAATCAATTTGAGAAAATCATGGTGTAATAATAGAGACGGCCACGTAGTACAACCAATTTCACAGATGAACTCTTGCATGCATTCTCATGCAGATAACGCTGGTACTCTAGATGGAAAATCTAGTTTCTACTACTGGCTATCTAGTATTATTTACACAACACCCGTTCACTTGTGATCAATCATGAAAGGGTGGCACCGCAAATATGGTGTCTCCTTCTACCAACTCTACCCAACTGAAAGGAATGAATGAAAAGAATGTTTTTGTGTGTAATTTTTGGAATTTGAAGTCCTGAAATGTAGGGCATCCAATGGCTGAAAAGGTCAATGCAAGTTCCACAACCTCCACCTCTCTTTTCTCCCTCTCTCTCTCTCTGAATCCCCCACAAGAGGCAAATACAGCCCTCTCTCTTCTGTACTGAATCTCTATTCTTAGATTGTCTTGTAAAATCTGGCAATCTCTATCCCCCCAATACACCCCACCCACCTAAACATGTCACACGCAACTCCTTCCCCTCCTCCTCCTTCCCCTCCTCTCTCATACACCCTACATTGATGAAAAACAAACACACCAAACCCTCACACACAACACCACCACGCCATCTCGAACAGCGGCTTGTTTTCTATCCGGTGGAGACGACGACACCACATTGTCCACCTTCCGGCCTGGCAAATGGTCGCTGTTCGCTCGTTCCTCTTCCTCCTCATCTTCCTCTCCTCCACTCACCTCTCCCTCTCCTTGTCACAAGAACAAGAAGCTCTCTTGAAGCTCAAGAACTCTCTCTCTCCTGCAGACAATCCCTTGGACAACTGGGAACCAAACACCTCCCCGTGTAACGACAAATGGGCTGGGATTGTCTGCAACGAAGATGTCATCACTGGTCTCCATTTCCCCAACATGGGTCTCTCCGGAAATATTGACATCGATGCATTGAAAGACATTCCTACCCTCAGAACCATTAATATCATGAACAACAAATTCTCAGGTCCGATTCCAGATTTCCACAAGCTTGGTGCATTGAAATCCATGTTTTTAGCGGGAAATGACTTCTCCGGTGAAATCCCAAAAGACTACTTTTCCAATTTGACGTCGTTGAAGAAAATTTACATCAACGGTAACAATTTCACAGGAAAAATCCCAGAGTCATTGACCCAATTGACCAAGCTAGAACAACTTCACTTGGAGAAAAACCAATTCACAGGCCCTATCCCGGAGTTAAAATCAGAAGTATTGAACTCACTCGACTTTTCGAACAACAAACTACAAGGTCCTATCCCGGAAACCCTATCGAAATTCGACCCCAAGGCGTTTGAAGGAAACGAAGGACTATGTGGCGGGCCACTCAAGTCATCATGCAAGCCACCTCCAACACCGTCATCTCCTCCGCCAGAATCCCCATCAAAGTCACCACCCTCGGCGCCGCACTCGACTCCATCTAAGAAAGAGGAAGATAAAAGATCAAAAACCATAATCATAGTCATCAGTGTCATTGCCGCTATCATGGTTCTACTCCTGCTTTACGTGCTGCTCACAAAGAAGAGGCGAAAACCAGAGGACGATTTCAACGTGCTCGGCAAAGAACAGATCATGGATGACCATCGTAATGTACAGGAGCAGGTGGTTGACGTTCATGTTCCAAGCACCACAAATCGCAGCGTGAGAAGCACGAATGAGTCAAATCGTAGCATGGAGGTCAACCAAAGCAATAGCAGAAAAGGTGGCGGGGACTCGAAGAAGGGGTCGAATCATGGGAAAATCGGCATGAACGAGCTTTTGATGGTGAATGAGGAAAAGGGTACGTTTGGATTGCCGGATTTGATGAAGGCAGCGGCGGAGGTTTTGGGGAATGGAGGGTTGGGATCGGCTTACAAGGCGGTGATGTCTAATGGGTTTTCGGTGGTAGTGAAGAGGATGAGGGAGATGAATAGGTTGGGGAGAGATGGGTTTGATGCTGAGATGAGAAGGTTTGGAAGATTAAGCCACAAGAATATATTGACTCCTTTGGCTTACCATTATAGGAGAGAGGAGAAGCTGTTGATCTCAGAATACATTCCTAAGGGCAGCTTGCTATACGTTCTGCATGGTATGAGTTTGTCCAAGTTTGCTCAATTAATCTTAACTCAGGCCTCCTTATATGTTAGAACCATGTTTGTTTGATTGACTGGTAACGAGTATCATCTACACTACTTGATACATCATTGACTAATATTGAGTACCAATCTACAATATTCGAGACTGATCGATATTATTAATTATATATAAGTAAATTATCGGCCAAATATCACATATATATACCAAGTATTGTAGATTGCTATCTAGCAACAAACCATTTTTACCTTGTATGACAAATCTAATGAAAATTAGACTAGGGGCGTAATCATTCTAATCAATGGTTTGGACTACTAATCTACAATTCTTGGTACATTGTTAATAATTAGTTGACATTATCAAATATCAGTAGATTATCAACCAAATCTGAATAATGTACCGGGTAATGTAGATTGGTAACTAGTACCTAACTCTTCTTTTCCCTATTACAGATGATGTGGGAGAATCTAATGAAAAATTAGGGTTCTGCTTCTTGTTAAATATGACATGTTATGCAACTACACTATTAATTAGAATTCACCTTATCAACGATTTAAGTTGACGGTCTAATAGTATAAGATTGTTCAATGAAAGACACTTCTAACTAGATGAACACAACAAAAACTTCCATTGGATAGGGCTACAAACTTCAATTTTGTTTCTTGGTGGTATACATCTATAACTTTGTAGCTCATAAAAATCTAACCAGACTGATAAATATATGCACAATTTTAAATTAGCAGGTGATCGTGGAATTTCTCATTCGGAGCTGAACTGGTCAACCCGTCTGCAGATAATTCAAGGAATTGCATGTGGAATGGGATTCATCCACACAGAGTTTGCATCCTATGACCTGCCCCATGGAAACCTAAAGTCCAGCAACATTCTACTAAAAGAAGACTATGAGCCCGTGCTCAACGACTATGCCTTACATCCCCTCATAAACCCTAGCAATTCTGCACAATCCATGTTTGCTTTTAGGACCCCAGAGTACATAGAATCCCAGCAAATATCTCCGAAAGCCGATGTATACTGCCTTGGAATTGTGATCCTTGAAATCCTCACCGGGAAGTTCCCATCTCAGTATCTGAGCAACGGGAAAGGCGGAACCGACGTCGTTCAGTGGGTCCAATCAGCCATGGCTGAGCAAAGAGAACAAGAGTTGCTAGACCCAGAGATAGCAAGTGAGACAGATTCAGTGGATCAAATGCTGCAGCTTCTGATGGTTGGAGCTGATTGCACTACGAGTGAGCCTGAGCAAAGGCTTGATTTAAGGGAAGCCATTAGGAGGATTGAAGAGGTACGAGTTTGAGAAGCATGCAGGCATGCATGCATATATATATGCGCTTGCTAGGTATACTTCAATGCATACTTCAAGACAAATGGGATTTTCTTACAAAGGTGAGAAATTTAAAGGGCTGATGCGCGAAACCACAGAAGCTAATGCAAATGAGTGAACATTGATAATTCAGGAAGTGTTTTGTTTTTCTCCTTACCATGCATATATATAGGTGAGTTAAAAAGAGGGTAGGGGAGAGAGAGAGAGAGAGAGAGAGAGAGAGAGAGAGAGAGAGAGAGAGAGAGAGAGGGTGTTGGGTTGGAACAAGGGAAGAAAAATGGAATTTAGTGAAAAATACTGAATATATTAAGTGATATTTCTATTCTGAAGGAAGGTTTGGTTCTTAGTTCTTGGGTTTTTCTTTTTCTTTTTAAATTTAGATGTACAGAGAAGGAACCTTTATAATTTTATTTTTTCTAGCTAGGAATACCAACAGGGAGATTCATTCATGTATTTACATGTTCCTTGACTAAACATACATGTATTGCATGATTTTGTTTTAAAGACGTCATTTACCAAGTTTTCAAAACTGCCAAAGAGCAAAGCTATATTTTATAGATAAAAGAGGTTTTATAGTAGCTCAGCATTGAACTAAATAAAACTGTCATATTATTTTACCAATAAATTTGGTTAATAAACTTGGTATTAACAAGTAAACAGAAGATATATTGTTGTAAATGGTGTAAATGCCCCTTATAAATGTGAGCAACCAAGTATGATCATACCTTTACAAAATTGTCAAAGAAAGTGTCTTGGTAGGTTTGTTAGGTTGAAAGGCACTTTGTTTATAAAACAATCATCCCGGCAAGAGAAGAAAAAAGAAAGACACAAATAAGGGTAATGTTATGGAAACTAAATTTTGTAAACTAAATGACATGGAAGTTGACGATTAGATAATTGTTTAAGCGTTGACAAACGTGCTCATTTTTATTGATGACACATCATTTAGTTTGCAAATTTTGTCTATAAATTTAGTCTCCTAAGCATTGTCGCACAAGGAAATGCAAAAGAAAAAAGATAACGCTTGGGAGACCGAAATTTGAAACCAAATTTGAAACTAAATAATGTGCCACCAATAAGAAATAAGTACGTTAGCCAATACTTAAGTAATAATTCAATTATCAACAACCATATCATTTGGTTTACAAAATTTGGTTTAAGAATTTGGACTTCCTAGCATTACCCGAAAAAAAAAATATCAGTCCTATACCAGGGCTAGAGAAATAGAGAGAAAAATAGTAATAGTTATCTTTATGCTCTTACGAGCAATTACATCTAAATTCAAGCAAAAGTTTCCATGTTGTGTGTGCATTACACACATTTTTGTGCATCTCTAGTATCACAAAGACATGTCAAGAAAACAAGGAGTGCTACGATTAAAATTCTTCATCATTCATGAAGTAACTGACTTGTGCGGCCAAGAACTTATTAACAGAACTAAAGAACAATATGAACAAGCAGAGAGAGGAAAAATGAAAGAACAAAGTATCTCTAATTTCTCAGTAATGAAGTGTTTTTACAAAGCTTTCTTATCTCATCTGAAAAGATCAAATGGCTATATGTACTAACCATTCACAATCTACAATTACACTATTACCCTCTAACCTCCTTACTCAATTACAATCTTATCCTCTTTAACAAACTCAATCTCCAACTACTTTGTAACTAACTTGACTTGCACCTCCTTGCCATGTGTCATTGGTTAATAGAACTCACATGCCACAAATGTATATCTGTTTCTTTCTATATCTCGTTTCTAGTGCAACTTTTCTCTGGTGTGAATCTTATTTACACACTTAAATAAGAGCTTGGATTCAAATGGAAGGTGGAGATGTAGAGTTTAAATTAAGTTACAACCGGTTAAATATCCAAATATTAAACCCGTTAAAACATGACGACCCGGTAAAATTAAACAGCCCAGCCAACAAAGGAGTCCAACCACACCAGCTCCGACAGCCACCATCCTAACCAAGGTATTAAATATCGGTAATATCGGAAATATCGGTAATCCGAAAACACGGAAATATCGATAGAAATATCGGGATAATATCGATATCGATAAAAATTACATGGAAACCATGGAAATTTTTATTGAAACTTTGCAGGATGTTTATTTAGTCAATTATCTATTAGTTTATCACAAAAAATTGGAAGGAAATGCATTGCATGATGGATTTAACATTATCAAGTTGATTATATAGCGAGCTGACAAACATTGTGAGTGTAGAAAATATGTAGTAATTAATGAAAAAAGTCTAAACACACCATAATCATTTATATATAATGAATTAGTACAATATTTTACACTTTATACATTGCATGGTAAGATACATGAGTGACTTAGTACCACATAGAGTTCCTATGAGGTTCAAATTTTTCACTATCTTCATCATCTCTATGTGTAGAGTGAGTGTATTGTGAAAAGTAGTTATCAAATGATAAATCCCCAAAATAGTTTTGCATGTAATTGTTAACATGCCACCCATATGGATCCGAGATTGGTTGACGTTGTCCATAAGCAAAATCATTTTAAGATTGAGTCTCGGATTGTTTCCATGAGTCGCTCGATTCCATCCCAACAGGAATGGGATATGAAGGGTAGGGAAATGGTTGGTTATGAGTATTACCATAGTTATTACTTCCCACTCCAACAGAGTCCGAAGTTCTAGATAACGAGTCATCTTCTTGACTTGACAAAATCCCCTTGCCTCTTTCTCTACCAGTATAGTCTTTCCCTATGGCACTAATTCCTGGTCCTGCCCGCCTACTGCCATGGTCATCATCCTGTGTTGCATGCGTGAAGTTTGCCTCACCAGTGAAGGGGCTCATAAATCCGGGAGGTGGTCCAACATAGTTTCCATATCCACCACCACTACCTCTAGCTCCACTACCTCCAGCTCCACTATATCCTTCATCATTCCCACCTCCGATGGTAGGTGAGTCTCCTGATCTTGTACTAGAGCTATCATTAGTATCAGTATGATGTTGTGGTTGTGTAGGATTGGAAGAAGGTGGAATTCCAATGTTTCTTGGTCTTAGGCGCAAAAGTTCTTCCAAAGAGTCAGCGCTACTAGATCCCACCTCCTCCTCTAATACTCTTTCTACATTTATCCCTTCATTACGTGCTTCTTCAGCAACTCTGGAAGTTGAGTTGCCTTCATCATCATCTAAATGAAGAGGTCTAATCCATTGATAAAGTTGGTTACCCTCTGTATCATCATCTTCACCAACAATATCAAACACATCTAGTGGGTCACCACGGTCGACATGATCTATTTCTGCTTCCTTATCTCGAATTTGAAGCTTCATGTTGTAGTAGCAATAAACTAATTTTTCCAAGCTACTATGAGCCAACTTATTTCTTTGCTTTGTGTGTATGAGTGCAAATGTGCTCCAATTTCTTTCACAAGCAGATGAGGAAGCTGTTTGTGATAATACTTTGATTGCTAACTTTCACAGTTGGTGCATCGATCCCATACATGATCCACCATTCAGCTACAATGAAAAACAATGTTGATAAGCCTAATAACTCCAACAAATTCTATTATAAACTTATAGTGAAATATGTTTATACTCACTAGGAGACATATTTTTTCGAGCAGCAACTGATGTTGGTTCTCCAAAAGTTCTTCTTGCATCTTTAAACCATGTTAGCTGAATTCAATAAATCGTGTTAGTTTAATCCAACAAAGTAATTATTATAATTTAAGTAATTGTGTACCTCATTTCCAAATTGGCCAACTGCTGGTGATGCAGGATCTAATTTAGAGTATACATTATGTACAGCACGTATAAGAGTACCATCATCTCCAACACCGAGTCTGTATTGGTATCGGGGATTCAAATAATATGTTGTTCAAAGAAACACATACTCTAATAAGAGAAATAATACTTATGCAACTAAAGAAATGAATTGCAAATTATAACATAATTTATACCTGCTGCATGCAAATCGTGGTATAATGTTTTATACCATCGGTCTTCAATTATCTTTATGACCCACCTTGCACCATGTTTTCTTTCCAATTCATCATTCACTACACGCATCAACTCATATACTGCCCCCATAGTAGGATACACTTCTGTGTCAACGATCCGTAAAACTTTGTAAAGAGGTTCAAACACTTGGCACACATGTTCTGATTGAGTCCAAAAAGCATGATCAAGCACTATACTTTCCACCATACGACCTGCATTTGAGCGGCTCAAATTGTGGTTGGCACAATCGTCACTAGTGAATAGTTGCTTCAACCCTGCTTTCTTCTTAAGTATGCTGTCTAATGCAATATAGTTGGTGGCGAATCGAGTGGTAGCTGGATGAATAATTTCTCCTTTGCAAAATTCACGCATCTTTGCCAACAACCAACCGTGATTGTAAATATAATTTGTGATCATTCTAACTCTTTTTACCACAGTAGCAACATTCTCTCTCTTCCCCATTGCCTCAAACATGAGATCAATACAATGTGCTGCACATGATGTCCAAAACACATTATGATGCTTCATTAACTTTTTTCCAGCTTTGACAAATGCAGAACCGTTGTCGGTCACGACTTGGACAACATTATGCTCTCCCACCTCCATGATTACATCCCTCAATAATTTGTAAATATACTTGTAGTTCTTTATATGGTCTGAAGCATCAACAGACTTCAAAAAAATTGCCTTTCCCTTGGAGTATACCATGAAGTTTATGATAGACAATCTGGTCGGGCCAGTCCATCCGTCACACATGATTGTGCAACCATTAGTTTCCCACTTTGACCTCAACTTGTTAACATACTTGCCAATGTCTTTATACTCCATATCCAAATATTTGTTTCTTATCTCATAGGGAGTGGGAGGTTGTACTCCAACACTGGCCTGTTGACATCCCACTACCATATTTTTGAAATGATGTGATGATGCCTTCGCAGCAGGGACATTTTCATAGATAAAGAACTTGCTAATTAGACGCCTCATTCCCTCCTTCACATTACCTCCAATGAAATAACTCCAAACACTCTTTTGACATGCTTTGGATGACTTATATAAACTTGGGGCTATTGGTGGTGTTGGTTGTGATTCCCTAATATAAAACCTAGTGATGAATAATAATCCAATTTGATAATAATCCAATTTAATAATAATCCAATTTAATGAATAATCCAATTTGATAATAAAAAAAACCTAATATTAATGAATAATAATCCAATTTGATAAAAAAATAATCCTAATATAAAACATAGTGATGAATAATAATCCAATTTGATAATAATCCAATTTAATAATAATCCAATTTAATGAATAGTCCAATTTGATAATAAGCCAATTTAATGAATAATCCAATTTAATTAATAATAATCCAATTTGATAATAATCTAATTTAATGAATAATAATCCAATTTGATAATAAAAAAAACCTAATATTAATGAATAATAATCCAATTTGATAATAAAACATAATATTAATAAAATAATAAATAACATTAAACATATTAAAATTATCCTAGGGAATAATTATA